GTTGGATCGTCAAATCTCCGAGTCTTGAGATGTGAGATCACCCAGTGGGGGGTTCGCCGAGTAAGGGATCACCTTTCCGCGAGGGATGGTCGACCATATTACGACTTGTATGAGTTGGATTGTCAAATCTCCGAGTCTTGAGATGTGAGAAATTTACTTAGTTAGGAAAAATCATCATTTAAAAGTAGTCGGTCGATTCCCGACTCACGTTCCTTGGTCATAGTCGGCCAATTGCCGTCCCAATTCTTCTTTGGTCACATAATCTAACTTCGTCTGCCAGTTATGAGTCTGTCTTCGAGTTGTTTATACTCGCCCAGTCGGACTTTGGCCGACAATCACGAGTTTAGTTCTTCGAGTTATTTATACTCGCCCAGTCGGACTTTGGCCGACAATCACGAGTTTAGTTCTTCGAGTTATTTATACTCGCCCAGTCGGACTTTTGCCAACAATCACGAGTTTAGTTCTTCGAGTTATTTATACTCGGCCAGTCGGACTTTGGCCGACAATCACGAGTTTAGTTCTTCGAGTTATTTATACTCGCCCAGTCGGACTTTGGCTGACAATCACGAGTTTAGTCTCTCTTCTGTATAAAAAATGTCAAAAAATCATATGAGGGATAATAATATTCATTAAATAGACAAATTATTGGATTGTGGGGCCTCGTTAAAAACCTTCTCAGCAAAAACCCCTCTCATTCTTTATGGGAAAAATACTGAGTTAGGAAAAGAGTGCACCTTCTACAAATGAATAAACTAACTGTAATAGAAACGTAAGTTGGCTGCGTTCCAAGTTCTCGAGATCGTCCCTCCGTCCAAGGTCCTCAGTCGGTAAGCTCCTTTGCCGACCACATCATCAATTTTATAAGGGCCGACCCACTTAGGTGACAACTTGTTCTTCATCTGAGTTAGCTGAGCACGCCTCAACACGAGGTCTCCTACAACAAAATCCCTCGGGATGACTTTTGTATTGTACTTGAAGGCTGCTCTTCTCTGGGCTGCTACTTGACTTATTCTTGCTCTCTCTCTTGTTTCCGTGATCAAATCCAAATCCACTCGTCTTCCCTGGTCGGACTCCTCCTCCGAAAAAGCTGTAGTGCGTACTGTCAGCTCTGCAATTTCAATCGGGATCACGGCGTCTGTTCCGTACACTAAATTGAAAGGAGTCTCTTGGGTCGATGAATGAACTGTTGTGTGGTATGACCATAGCACTCGGGGAAGCTCTTCCACCCATGAAGCGCCTGAATCTTGGACGCGCTTCTTCAGTCCCAAGAGTATAACTTTGTTGGCCGACTCTGCCTGGCCGTTGGATTGGGGGTGTTCGACGGAAGTGAAAGTCATTCGAATACCGACCTCGTTACAGAAATCACGAACTCTATTACTTGCAAATTGTGTCCCGTTGTCAGAGACAAGCACTTGAGGAACACCATACCTGCACACAGGGACGGATCTACTTACAACGTAGTGGGGGCACTTGCCCCCACTACCATTTTTTACATACACAATTTTTTTTATCTAAAAAAATATATTTTAAAAAATAAAAAATATATTCTAATTATATATATATATATATTTAAATCATCATATATATAAAATATAAATTCTGAGGAACTATTCATTTATCTGATATTTGTTAAACTTTCGAATGAGATTAATTCTCATTTGTAATAAAAAAATACTCCTTAATAATGAACTAATTTTTTAAAATTTTTTAATTATAATATATATATATATATATATTAATGCTCACATATATAATGTAATATATTAATTTTTGATAAAATAAAATTTACAGCATGCATGTTTATCTTTTGTGCTTTCTATTTATTGTATATATTGATAAAAAAAATTAAAATAGTAAAAATTGTAAGATTGTATACGTTGATTTAAAAAAATCAAAATAGAAAAGATTGAAAGATTTATGTTTTATTTATAATTTTTATTTTAAAATGTGTTTTAAAATAAATTACCATCTAAAAATTTATATCACATATTAAAAACATGTTTATATCATAAATAAATTAAACTTGATTTTTATAATATTTAACATATTTATTTTTATATTTTTATTAGTGTTAAATTATTAATAAGTAGGTCTTTAAGATCGTAATTTTAACCAAACATTTAAAAAATGTCTATGATAGATAAATATGTCATATTTATAAGATGTATTTTTAAAAAAAATTAGGTTCAAATCTACTAAATTATAATATAACATTGTCTGATCTAATTTATTTTCATCCTTAATTGTAATTGTAAATATAAAAATTTATAAAAAATAATTATAATATATATATATATATACTTTTAAAAGTTATATGTAAAATTTTTAATACTAAAATTATATAAATAAGTATTGCCCTCACTATCTAAAATTTCTGGATCCGTCACTGCCTGCACACCACGTTTTTCCACAGAAACACCCTTACTTTCTCTGCTGAAATAGTTGCAACCGGCTCTGCCTCGATTCACTTGCTGAAATAGTCCACGGCTACTATCAAGAATTTCAACTGCCTTACCGCGATCGGAAATGGACCGAGAATATCAATACTCCACTTGTGGAAAGGCCAGGGAGATAGAATTGAATGTAATCGTTCAGCTGGGGAATGGAGTAGGGTTGCGTGTCTTTGGCATCCATCACACTTTTGGACCCAATTGACGCAACCGTTCCTCAAGGATGGCCAGAAGTACCCCGCCCGGGGAACTTTATACACTAAAGCTCGTCCTCCAATATGACTTCCACACATTCCGCTATGCACTTCATCCATCACTCTCTGCGCTTGTGACGTGGTCAAACACCTCAAAAGGGGAGAGCTGAAACCTCTTCGATACAACCTTTCATTGATGACCACAAACCTGGCTGACTCTCTCTGTATCAATGACGCCTCCCTTTTGTCCTCTGGTAGTTCTCCCCGAGTCAAGTATGCGATGTACGGTCCCATCCACGAATCAAGTTCTTCCTGGACAAAAAGGACATTCCCATGGGCCTCATTTATACTCGGCTGTGCTAACGTCTCTTGGATGACTGACCGAGTAGCCCCTGGTTTCTTTGTACTTGCTAATTTAGACAACAAATCGGCTCATGAATTTTGCTCTCGAGGGACATGATTCAGCGAAAATTTGGTAAAGTCAGCCGACATGTCCTTTACCCTTTCCAGGTACCCTGCCCCGTCACAAGTTGCGAGTCGCTCTTGGCCGAGAGGCTTGTTGCACCCATTTCCTTCGCCAAAGCCATCCCTGCCAACAGCGCTTCATACTCTGCCTGATTGTTGCTAGCTCGAAACTCAAAGCGTAGCGACTGTTCCAAGAGTATGCCTCCTGGCCCCTCAAGGACGATCCCGGCTCCGCTGCCACCTATGTTGGAAGCTCCGTCGACCGATAGGATCCACTCGCTTTCCCCAGAAGGATCACCCTCGGCTGGCGGGGTCAGTTCGACCAAGAAGTCGGCCAACACTTGAGCTTTGATGGGTCCTCTTGGCTCGTACTTGATTGCAAACTTTGACAACTCGATGGACCACTTCATCATTCTGCCAGCAAGGTCGGGCTTTTGCAACACCTGTCTGATGGGGTAGTCTGTTCGGACTACCGTTTCGTAGCTCTGAAAATAGTGTCTCAGCTTTCGCACGGTTATCACTATGGTAAGTGCCAGCTTCTCAATCTTTTGATAGCGAACCAATGCCCCTTGCAACACCCTGCTAACAAAATAGGTCGGTAGTTGGGAGTTACCCTTCTCTTGCACCACGACTACGCTGACGACGTTATCGGATGCCGACAAATATACCAACAAAGGGGAGTCGGCTTGCGGTTTAGTGAGGATCGGCGGTGAGGTGAGAGTCTGTTTGAGTTCGCCGAATGCTCTTTCACATTCGTCGGTCCATGCGAAGCGGTCGTTCTTTCTCAAACATTGGAACAAGGGTAACGACTTGTCCACTGCCTTTGAAAGAAACCGAGAGAGGGAGGCCATTCTCCTTGTCAACTGCTGGACCTCCTTCACCGTCGCAGGACTTCTCATATTAATTATTGCTGAGCACTTGTCCGGATTCGCCACAATACCTCGATGAGTCAATAGGAAACCGAGGAATTTTCTGGCTTGAACGCTGAAAGAGCACTTCGCAGGGTTCAACTTGAGTTGGTATTGTGCGAGAGTGTCGAACGATTCCTGTAAGTCAGAAAAATGTCGAGACACACTAGGCGACTTGACGACCATGTCGTCTACGTACGCCTCAACATTCCTTCCTAACTGATCTGCCAACACCTTGTCAATGAGCCTCTGGTACGTCGCCCCTACATTTTTTAAACCGAAAGGCATGACCTTATAACAGTAGGTGGCCTGATCGGCTATGAACGAAGTTTTGTCCTCATCGGCGTGATGCATCCTGATCTGATTGTACCCTGAATACGGGTCCATGAAGCTCAACAGTTCATAGCTTGATGCGTTGTCGACTAGGCAATCGATGTTAGGCAGCGGGTACGAATCTTTTGGACAGGCTTTGTTCAAATCCGTGAAGTCGGTGCACATCCTCGAGTTTCCATTGCTCTTTCGTACCTTTCCCACATTCGCTAGCCACGTCGGGTATTGGATTTCCCGAATGTGTCCAGCCGACAGCAGCTTCCTCGTCTCCTCCGCTATAGCTTTCCTTTTGTCCTCGCCGAACTTTCACCTTTTTTGGGTCACCGGCTTCGCCTTGGGGTCCACCATGAGATGGTGACATAGGAAGTCGGGGTCAATACCTGGCATGTCGCCGACACTCCACGCAAAGGCCGAAACGTTGTTTTTCAACACAGTGAGCAGCCCCTCCTCGTCTTCTTTGGCCAAAGATACACCCATTTTGACTGTTTTCCCTTCGGCTAAGGTAACTTCCTTCACATCCTCCGCGGGGGCTGGTCGGGAGTCGAAATGAATTATCCTCGGATCTAACTCGATTGACTGGACACCCCGATCGACCTGCGTTACATATAGGTGTCTCCTAGCCCTCAAACTGTCCTCTAGCATTTCCTCGTGACTTATTGATCGACACAGAGGACCCCGACCTTTCCGTTGGGCAAAGGATACTTCAGCTTCAAGTGGGGTGTGGAGACGACCGCTCCCAACCTGTTCAGTGTAGGACGGCCGACCAGTATGCTGTAGGATGATTGGGCATTCACCACCAGGTATCGGACAGTGATAGTCTTCATGTGGTCTCCCCGACCGAAAGTAGTCTCCAAGTCGGTGTACCCCCTGGCCGTTACCTGATCACCTGCAAAACCAACTAACGTACCTGCATAGGGCATAAGACGGTCAGTCAGAATTTTCATCCCGATAAAAGCTTCCCAGAACATGATGTCAGCCGAGCTGCCTTGATCCACCAACACTCGCTTCACATTGTAGCCCATGACGATTGCCGAGACGACTATGGGGTCGTCCTCATGGGGAGACACCCCCTCGAAGTCGGCGTCCGAGAACGTGATGGCAGACTGGGAAGGTTTTTCCCAATCCGAGACCGACAATACGGAACGAGAATATCTCTTCCGTGCCGACGATGTCGGACCTCCTTCGGCGAATCCCCCCGCTATGGTGTTAAAGTCTCCATGAACAACCTGTTGGTGGGTCTCTGAACTCTTCTCCGGGATGTCTCCCGGAGGAGATCTCCCTTTGCGTCTTCCTCCCCTCGCATCTTCCCCTTCATGTCTGCGTCGTCTGTCCGATGAGCTTTCATCATGCTTACCTGCGATGAACTTCTTCAGGCGACCTTCCTTGATGAGACGCTCAATCTGCCTACCGAGAACAAAGCAATTCTCTGTAGTGTGTATATGGGTGCGTGAAACTCACACCAGTTAGTTTTGTAAGGGCCCAACTGGTGGTCGGTCACCGCCGAAAACTCGAAGAGTGAAGCGCTGTTGATGTCATGGAGTATGTGCCTCCTGGGGACGTTGAGTGGGGTGAATTTTTCTTGCTCGTTGCTTCGTACCCAATCGCCCTTCGCCCGACCGCCATGATCCGCCTGCCTACGATTTCCCTCCTTGGGACCGTAGTGATCACGTCGCTTGCTCCAGTCTGAGCGTACCCACAGGTACTTGTTGCCTTCCTTATTCCTGCCCCCTGCCTCTCGGCTTTCCGCTGCTCTTTTAACAATTTGGTTTTCCTCCGTCTTGATGTGACTCAAGGCGAAGGCCCTCACCTCCGACATCGTTTGACAGTTAGCTTTCTCGAGCGCGATGTCAAAAGCTCCGGACCTTAAGCCCTTCTGGAATGCTATGACTGCCATCCTCTCGTCCAACGACCCTATTCTCAAGGCGACCTCGTTGAACCTTTGTAGAAAATCCTTTAATGACTCCCCGCATTGCTGCTTGAAGTCGAACAAGTCCGCCGTAATCGGTGGTTTCTTCTTGTTGGCAGCGAATTGCGCCATGAAGAGCCGACCGAAGACGTCGAAGTCGGTGATTGATCGGTCAGGGAGACTACTAAACCAATCAAGTACTGCCTTTTTGAGTGTGCCCATGAATAGTTTGTAGCGGACCTCCATGCTCCCTCCACAGATCAACATTTAAGCTCGGAAATCCGTCAAATGCTGACTGGGATCCTGTGTCCCATCGAAAGGCTCGACTTGGGGTATCCGATGGTCCCTGGGGATGATCTCGGCCTCTATGGCTTCCGAGAAAGGTCGAAAATCCCTAGGGACTTCCAGCATGACATCCTCCTCCACCGTCCTAGTACTAGCCGCTATTCTGGCCTGCATCTCATCCGCGCGTCTCCTGATCTCCTCGTTCTCACATTGGATGGCCTCCTCTCTCTCCCTGGATCGCGCATTTTCCTCCCTTAAGCCATTGATCATGGCCATCATCTCCTCCATAGTAGGGGTTTGTGATTTGTTTTTGTTATTCCCGCCTCTCGCCATGGTAAAGTGTAGGTTTTTTTTTTTGTTTTTCTTGGGGCGTAGGTAAAGTTTCACCGTAGCCCCACGGGGGGCGCCAAAATATTCCAGCCAAAGGGTGGACTAGGGTTTTTTCCTAGATCGTGCCTTAGAGCCAGAGCATTCAAAAGTGTAATTTGTCTTCTTAGCCTTAGGGTTTTAGGTTTTATACTTTGTTGCCTATGGGCCTCATGGGCCCCGAGAACATAGGGATTTCCTTAACCGTTCTTGCTACGAGGCCGCGCAATGAGTGAGGATTAGTCAAGTCGGATTTTGACGGACTAGGCCTGTGCCAAGGGTCCAATCGGGTAAACGCCGAGAGCCCCCCTTATAAGCGAGTGGAGCCGAGCTAGGACCGAGTCGGCTTGCTCACCAAGGATCCAGTCGGGTGCGCGCCGAGTGGCCCCCTTATAGGCGAGTGGAGCCGAGCTAGGACCGAGTCGGCTTGCTCACCAAGGATCTAGTCGGGTGCGTGCCGAATGACCCCCTTATAGGCGAGTGGAACCAAGCTAGGAGTGAGTCGGCTCGTGTAGAGATGTTAACTCGGTTGTAGGCCGAGTGGTTTCCAGTCAAACAGAGGATCAAGTCGAGTTTTGACCTGGACGGTACACTAACCTTCCAGCCCTGAGCCGATAAGGCGAGAGGGCTTGTAGCCTGATAACTTAGTCGGGTATCAACCGAATAGAGGTCAGTCGGATTTTAACCTGGACGATACAAATTTAAACATTTTCTTTTCAAGCTTAAACTTATTCTTTTCTCAGCTTGATTTCTTATTTTGTTAATATGTGTTAAGTTCTGCCATGATAGACATTTTTTATCTAATTGCTTACCGACATCAATTGGGCAAAGTTGCATGCCTCTTTAAAAGGATAACATGAATGTCTCCCGGGTATAAATCATTGATATTTTTTAAGAACTTTAAAATGATTATCCTCCCATTCATTTAAAATTAAATTTCTTTAAAAATACTCCATTATTCGTTAAAAAAAATCTTAATATAAACAAAATGATTCTAATTAAAAGTTGTCTTTAATATTATTTAATAGATATATCAGTCATGGATGATGACATTAAAAATATGATGAGTCACTGACTAGTGTAATAATCGTTCATGATTGAAATCATTCAGCAGTAATAGAAGTTCAAATAATATACATATATTTTTAAAATTTGAATCATATCATTGTTATTACATTTTTTTTAATGATTTGATGTATAAATAGTAATAAAGATGATGATAATCACAATCATAATCTTAAACTATATATTTTTTTTAATCTTATACACACAATCTGAAGCTACACTTTTTATGTTGGATACTTGTATTCTAAATTCTAAACTCTCAAACCCACACCTACACCCACACTGACCCTAAGCTCAGAAATTTTATGTTACAACTTATACTTAATTTTAGATTAAAATTTTAAAAAAATATTTATTCAAAAAATAAGAATTTATTGTGATTTTTAATTATTATATATTTATATATTTAAACAATTATTATAAAGTTTAATTAATAAATTAGTATATAAATATTTAAAATCATATAAGTAAATTAAAAAAAAGTTTGACAGAATTTTTTTAATAAAATGTAAGGTGGGTTTCCGTAGGTTTTTTTCTCAAACCCAATAAAAGTATAAAACTCAAAAGAGATTAAGTTAAGTTTAATTTTTTTGTTTCTCTCTCCTTTTCTTAAACTTCAGTCCGAAGCCGACATATACGAGAGAAAGAGGCTCTGTCTGTCGTATTGGACCATTTTGTGTAAATAGAAATCCACATAAATTTGGATTAGATTAGTTTTTTATTTATGGCTAATGATATATAAACCTATTTTTTTTTACAAGTCTTTTATTAATTTTTTTTAAATTCTAAAATAATCATAATTTATTTTATTTTTAAAATTTTTAATTTTATATCTCTAACTTATAATTAATTATTTTTCATTTTCACACACCTCCTACATTCTCTTTTTCAGTTTTTACATGTACCGTCTTATCTCATCTAATTCTTCACTTATTTCAGTGGGTAGTTTTAGATCTCTCGATTTTTATATTACTCTCTTATTTTTTCACCTCTTTTATTTTTTTAAATGCACTAAAATCATGAAACTGGTAGGCGACAACATTGTAGGTACGTGTAGCTTTCTCGACAATTTCTATCAAATTAGACACATATTTTTTCTTCCAAAACTTCCTTTCCTTGCATCCCTCTAAAAACCTTAACATTAAATTTAATATTATGAAAAAGACATTTTTACTATTTTAGAGTACTATGCGGATAGTAAAATGAGTGAAAAAACTGAAAGAAGAAGGAAAAAAAATAATGTAAAACTAAAAAAAAATAAAATTACCTATTAAAATAGGTGGGAGTGAAGAAAAATTAAGGGAGTACGTATGAAAATAAGGGAAAGAAGTATGTAAAAAAATGTTAAATTAAATATTAGGAGTGTAAAATAAAAAATTAAAAAAATTAAAAATTAAAAATATTTTAAGAATTTAATTATTTTTTTTTAAAAGGGGGTGCACTTATAAAAAATAAAAATAAAAAGAGGTATATATATAATGATCCTTTATTTATTTATTTACAAAACTCGTAAGTTGTACAAGCTCACTTCACGTTTATTTGTGGCAAAAGAGAGCCTCTTAATAAAATACATTTGGGCTTGGCCCAAAAATCATTTGGGCTGGGTCTCGTATGCAAACTTGTTCATTTAACCGCGAGATTACAAGAGCTTTTTTCCCCCTCGAATTCAGTTGTAAGGGATTATAACAAGTCAGACACTGTTTAAACAACTAATACAAACTCTCTTCATTATTGTTAAATGTTTTCTTTATGCAATTTTTTCCCTCTTGCTTCTCGGTTGCAACAAATTTAGGATATTTATTTTTTGAAATATTTCATTTGTCAAAAATATTACCTTTTCGGAATAGAATTACGTGTTTATAATATGTTCAACAACAAGTAATTTTTGTAAAAAAGAATTGTTAAATATTAAGTTAGTGTCAAAATGATGGGTAATTCAGGGTATTATTTATATATTTATAAATATTTTATTATAAATTTTAATTATAACTAGTATTTTAATTTATACAATATACAAAATAAATGTTTAGTTTATATCATTAAAATCTATCTACATCATTATACAAAAGAATGGTTATTTTAATAATTAATTTTAGTCTTCATATTTTATTGAATCGTTGGAACATTATTTGTACATTATATAATGATTTTCGTGTAAACTTATTCAAACATACTAGTAGCATAGCATGGGATAAATAATTTATTATATATAATAATAATAAAAATATTTTCTCATTTCGTATCCATGTTTATCATTTTTATTTTATTCTTAATAATTATATATAACGCCTAATAACTTGGATGTGACTCATCAAAATACACATTAGAATTGTATATTAGAATGATATCTCAAAAAGAGTGATACTAACTGTTACTTTTAAAAAGTTACTTTTTCACCTTTGTCATGTCTTAAATTAAACTACAATGAATATTTCTTGACTTATAAAAGTGAAAAGCCTCCACTAAAGTAAGATAGAGCAATGAAACTTGAGCTTAAGTGTCTGATTGAGGAAACTAACTTTCTACTTAATCTCTTTTACAAAATACATGTCACCATGCCACTAAATTATAATAATAAATTTGTGCATAATATATGTCACCAAATCAGTAAATAATAATAGTAATTATTTGAACTTTTTTTCATTTTTTATCTTAAATAAAATACTCTAATTTCATTCTATTTATCAGATATTTATTCGGTATATTTCTTTCATCCATGTATCTATTTGTGTTACTTATTATCTATTTTTTCCATCCTCCAAACATGCCCACAAAAGTGCATATTTTTACATTAACCTAATGCATTTATTTAGAAAGGTGAATTTCATTCCGGTTTGGGTATGAATAATGAAGTTATGCATTATTTGACACATTTGTTACTATAGAGAGACATTATTTGGCGGTAAAAATTACTTTATCTACATTATAAATATAGTATACCGTTAAAAATATAGATATATATGTTATAGTGATATATAATATATATTATTAAATTTTATTTAAAATTAACATTAAAGTTATATATAGGTATATGTCACAACATTTCTTATAGTATCATAAATTAATTATTATCCTCTATTTGTATTCCACTATCATGACATTTTTTTTAACCAGATGGTGAATTATTAAACACAAGACTTAAGCGATCACAAAAATGTGTTTTATATTAATAAATCTATAAATGTGCTAACATATTTCATATTATTTGTAATTTTGTTCTAATTTTATATTTGACAATTCAGTTGAAACATTGCACATCTTAGTAACTAGTTCACTTAAAAAATATTATAAATTAAATTTTATTATTTAAAAGAAATTATTAATAACAAAAGATAAATTTATATCATAAATTTAAATTATAATTTAAAATATTTATTTATTAAAAATTTAATTATATAAAAGTATTTATCTTTTCTATTACATAAATTAAAATACTAGATAAAAGTGAAATTTAGGCCATAATTTTTTTTTGCAATCATTGAGAAAACATTATAGATCAACTACTTCCTAAAACAACAGATATAAAAAAA